AAAATAGAACCTGGGGCGCCTGGATGGCTCAGTCGGTTAAACGGCTGCCCTCGGCTCAGGTCATGATCCCAGGGTCCTGGGATCGAGCCCCGCATCGGGCTCCCTGCTCAGCGGGAAGCCTGCTTCTCCCTCTCCCACTCCCCCTGCTTGTGTTCCCTCTCGCTGTGTCTCTCTCTGTCAAATTAATAAATAAAATCTTAAAAAAAAATGAAAAATAGAACCTATGGCACAAACGCAAGCTGACCTTCATTTCTCCTTTTAGTATTACCCTCATCCCTGCACAAGTTTGCGTTAGGAAAGAGGAGCTATGAGACTAAGTGTCGATGGTTTGCTTTTGTGATGTTCTCTGGTTCTTTCTCTGAGTATGAAATGCTTGAGAGGTTTTTCTAGTATCCAGGCAACATGCTGCTGCCACTTAGGCCGTGCAAAGTCCTGAATTAAAAATAGCCTGTTTCACTGTGTTCTGAAATCTAGAACTATATGTTTGGAAGGAGTCCGAGGTCCCTGTTGGAGTTGGAAGGGAAAAATGGTCATGTCCCAGCGCTGTTAGAAGCGATGCAAAGTCTTGCTGGGAAACCTGGAGAGGCTGGGTGTGTATGAAGCCATCCACCTGTTGCTGGCTCCCTGGTCTGTTGGTGGGTATCCTCAAGGAAGGAAGAAGGGCTTGTGGCTCACATTTGGCAGGGAAAGAACTTCTAGAAGAGCAACCACAGAAGGTTCTTCCTCAGCATCATGGTTTACTCATTGCTAAGCAGAGACACTCCGAGTAACATTTCAGTTTTAGAGTTTTAAAACACATCTTGTTTGGGCGCCTGGGTGGCTCAGATGGTTAAGCGTCTGCCTTCGGCTTAGGTCATGATCTCAGGGTCCTGGGATCGAGTCCCGCATCGGGCTCCCTGCTCCTTGGGAGCCTGCTTCTCCCTCTGCCTCTCTCTGTCTCTGTCTCTGTCTCTCATGAATAAATAAATAAAATTAAAAAAAAAAAAACACGTCTTGTTCAAGAGTGGCTGTGTTAGAAAATACGCCAACACCGCCCATCACCATGCCTCACATCCCCTGGGAGGACTTCCGGAGATGGAACCTTTACTGCTGGTGACTGAAGAAACCACATGCTTGAATATGATCAGAATATGATCAGACATTTCCACGAAGTAGGCAAGATGCTTTTTAATTCTATGCAAATGCATCAGTGCTACAGCCTTTAATTTTACATGGAGATGGGGAGGAGGAGACCTCAAGGTGTGGTCCCTCCCTCAACAGCAAAATACCTCCTGATGTTTGTACCGCCCCACGTTACTAGTAGTGACCTTAACAAGTGACATTAACCAGTCTTTATACTGGTTTTCCAAGTGGTTTACAGCTTTTCCTAGGCTTACTCATGGCTGGGTCGGACTAGAAGCAAATAAAACATTTTATCCCTATTTTATCAAAAGGAATGGCCCCCACGGAGCTACTTCCTTTGCTGAGGTCAAACAGCCAGACTTTAACGGGACCTTCTGACTTGGATTCTAGGCTCGTTTTAGAAAAAAACAGATGTGCAAACAGGGTGGGCTTTGCAGCGAGAATCTGCCACGCGCTAGCAACGCGACTGGGGCGAGTCACTTAACCTTGTTGTGCTTTAAATCCCCACCTGGAAATGTGATTGTTGCTTGAAAGGGTCCTTGAAAGGATTATGAGTTGAGAGATTTTGAGGTTAGAGGCCATGGTGTAGTTGCTTATAACTTGGAATCTGGAGCCAGACTCCCCAGGTATGAGTCCCCAATCCCAGGTCTTCCCTAGCTGTGTGACCCAGTGTAAGTCACCAAACCTTCCTGAGTCAGTAAAATGGAGGTAGCAATTTATAGGGTCCCACTTTATAGGGTCCTTGTGAAGATAACAGAGTTCGAATAACCAAAAGCACTTACAACAGTGCCTGCCATTCAGTGAATGCTGTATAAGTATGTGCTATGATTACTCTAGTTTGTGATTGTGATGGTTATATATCAAGTGTCTGGCACAAAGAGTTGATCCAAAAAATATTAACTTGTATTACACTTTCCACAGTTTCTCCCATCAGAGCTCTTGAATTTTATGGAGCCTGAAAGGAAGGCAGTAGGATCACAAGTCTGTTTGGGGGTTTAACATAAACAGATGTCAGCGGGGCCCTTTCCAAAATCTTACTCCTTTGGGAACTCAAAATTTAATCTTATGCCATGGGAGGAAGATTTTTATGGTGCTCCTTAGAACAAGAGCAAATTCTTGAGCCTCACCCCAGACTCCCAGAATCAGAAAGCCTGGAAATGTAACCCATCCATCTGTTCTTGGTTTTGGCTTTGGTTTGCAATGCCCATTGACTTTTTTTTAAGACCATTGTTTTAGAGTAGCTGTAGGTTAACAGAAACATTGAGAAGGTACAGAGATTTTCCATGTGCTCCCTGCCCCCCACACATGCATGGCCTCCCCCTTGTCACCATCCCCCACCAGAGTGGTGCATTTGCTACAGTTGATGAACTTGCATTGACACATCATAGTCCCCCAAAGTCCATGGTTTCCAATATGTTTCACTCTTTTTTTTTTTAAGATTTTTATTTATTTGACAGAGAGAAAGACAGCCAGAGAGGGAACACAAGCAGGGGGAGTGGGCAGAGGGAGAAGCAGGCTTCCCGCCGAGCAAGGAGCCTGATGCGGGGCTCGATCCCAGGACCCTGGGATCATGACCTGAGCCGAAGGCAGATGCTTAATGACTGAGCCACCCAGGTGCCTCCCATTATGGTTTACTCTTGATTTTGGGTGTTCTGTGGGTTTAGACAAATGTATAATGACGTGTATCCATCATTACAGTGTCATACAGAGTATTTCCCTGCCTGAAAACGCTCTGTGCACCCCCTTTTTTCCCCCAGCCCCTGGCAAGCCCTCCCCCAGCCCCTGGCAGCCAGGGCTTTTTTTACTGTCTCCATGGTTTTGCCTTCAGTCTGTTTTAACAAGTATCCCAGAGATTCTCATGCTTTCTCAAGTTTGAAAATACCAGATATAGACTCCTACTACTTTGACCACCTTCTGTTGCCTGGGGTCGGGGAGGAGGGTAGTCAACAGAAAATTGGGTGCTCCATCTGTAGGAGAGGTGTTCCAGCCCAAGGAGTAGTAGATGACTGAAATAAGCAGAAATACAGATAGTTCCAGAAAGCGGTCAGGTGTGCGGATGGGGAGGGACAAGCACTTTGAGAGCACGTGACTCTGTTGATAGGTCTAGAACAGAATGCTTCGGGGTGCTGGGTCCTCTGGAAAGTGCTGATGTCACATCTTATGCCATACTGCTCTGAGTGATGGATAGGAGGAGGAATGCCTTTGGAATTTTTATGCGAGGTTAAAAGGAACAAAATCCATTTCAGCCTTCAGAAGTCCGAGCTCTTGGTACAAAAGGTCACTAATGGCAACTGGTAGCATTGCAGAGCTCTGAGAGGGAGAATTAAAATAGCAAACTTTTTGTTTTTGAACCACTAGTGGCACTGGGGGCTTGAGTGCTAAGTCTTTTGCCATCCTGCTGCCGCGGGATCTTAGGTAAAGAGCATGGGGATAAAGAAAAACAAGCCGTTCTTCTGCCTCCTGGAGGGAAGACGGTGGGGAGTTGTCCCCAGATGAGGGGTGATGGAATATTTGCAGTGGGGTGAGCAAGCCACCAGATGATGACTCCCTAGGGAGAGGGGTTGTGTCCATTTGTGTAGGGGAAGTGGCTGGTCAGTACTGATTGATCATGAGTTTGGTCCTTGATCCTCAGATTTCCTTAAATATGGAGATAATCCATTCTAAAGGCTTCAAAACTGTCTCTATGCGTAAGACTCTCAGACCTTTTAAACCTGTTTGGATGCTGTTCCATGATCACAAAGGACATGCAGAACCAAGCTAATGTTGTACAACCTTTCCACCCCACCCCCAAGACCAGGGACCTCTCCCACGGTGCGGTCATCCTCGCTCACCCAAGATTGAACCCCAAACAAACCACCTCTAGCATGGGGCTAGGTCCCCAATAATCATTTGTTGACTTTGCCTGAAATGACCATACTTTCACAACCATTATGAAGAATGCCTTCTAATTTTCCTAAATGGAGTTATTCTGCTATTTCTCCTATTATGTTGGTTAAAACTATGCACACACACACACTACACACATGTATGTATATGTATGTACACACGTATGTATGCACATTATTTCCTAATTTAATATTATGTGTATTTAATTATGGAATGATACTGGGAAAGTGGTAAATTGGAAATATTGGTATGCTGGTGCTATGTGCTACACAGATCAGTGTAGGCAATTTTGCTGATGGATCCATGGCAACACCAGTAAGCCATTCCCAAATTAAATTTTATTCACAGACTCAGATTACTTTTTGCTCTCTCATTTCTTGCGAAGATACCCTACTCTTCGTGACCCATAGGTGTGTTCTAGAGCTTCAGATTTTTAAAAAACGTGACTGTGGCATTTCTTTTGGTAGAAATTAAAATGTTATGTATTGAAAGTGTCCTACCAAATTTCTAAGTTCTTACTAAAAGGAAGGTGGAGATTTGGGAATGTAATTTGACCTTAGAAATATTTGTAGGGGGCGCCTGGGTGGCTCAGATGGTTAAGCGTCTGCTTTCGGCTCAGGTCATGATCCCAGGGTCCTGGGATCGAGTCCCGCATCGGGCTCCCTGCTCAGCAGGGAGCCTGCTTCTCCCTCTGCCTCTGCCTCTCTCTCTCTCTCTCTCTCCCTGTCTCTCATGAATAAATAAATAAAATCTAAAAAAAAAAAAAAGAAATATTTGTAGGAAACATTACCATAAAAATAATTTCATATCAAGAAGGGTCCTTAATATTCGGAATTAGACTCACCATCGAAAGGAGCATCCTGTCGTCTTTCCAAACCCAGCTTCACGTTGCTTAGGGACAAGAAAGAACATCTGACCTCAGTCTCCTATTTTTGCTGCTTGAACGAGACCTTGACCATGGAGGTTAACCTTGACCCTTGTTTTCTTTGCAGACTGCATCATCTGCTATCAAAGGTGCTATTCAACTGGGAATAGGATACACAGTGGGGAATCTCACTTCCAAGCCAGATAGAGATGTCCTCATGCAAGACTTTTATGTAGTGGAAAGCGTGTTCCTGCCGAGGTAAGAACATTTCCGTTTGTGAGGATGTCCGTGCTAAAGAACGTGCCTGGTGGCATCTTCACGTTGAAGACTTGCCTGCCAGCGCGTGCTTACGTGTCCACGCTGGGCCTTTAGGTGGCCCAGAAGCAGTGCCGATGATGGTTACTTTCTGCTGCCTCAGGTGGCTTGCGTTTTTCTATATGGAGAAGGGAAATAGGTTCTGTCCTGTGGGCCACTTGTAATTAGTTACGATAATGCCTGGAAGATCGCGTGAAGACAGACTCTGAGATTCAGCAGGAAAGAGTGCAGTAGTCATGGAGTAATGTCTGCATGGGTTCAGACAAAGAGGGCATTTTGGAAGTAGCAGCTGGTGCCAGGTCATTGCCTCTTCCCCCAATTTCAAAGACAGGTTGGGGGCCCATAGTTGAGCCTCCTATCAGAGCTCAGTCATGTAGCTAGCTCTTCCTTTGTGATGACTTTGACTTAGCTTTCCTCCAGAGAACTTATGAGAATCCTGCTATTTTGACACCATATTTGCAAAAACACCCCAGTTAACCATACATGTTACCTCCAGCTTTATTGTATTTTGGGGGAAGATCAATTCAATAAATAAATCTGAGGCACATGGTGGTGGTGGTTGAGCAACAGGGTGAATGCCTTCAATCCCACAGAACCGTATACTTACACATGGCTTAAATGGTAGCCCTACATTACGTATTCTTTACCAAAATAAATAAATTAAAAATTTTAAAGCCTAGCACTAAATATAGGAAGACACGTAATCATGATTAAATTGGAAATGTCACTGCTGCTGACAGGATTTTTCAAAGAAAATTGATCTAGCAAATGTAAATACAGATACTTGATTTGGGGGCTTAGGGCAATTATTTTGTCTTTGGGGCAATGAGGACTGACTTGTAAGGCACGTTGCTATTCTAAAACAAGTGTTTCTCTCCCAAATAAGCCCCTTTTGTTATCAGTTATTACTGGGCTTGGGTGAAAATGGCTGGGGTGAGCCTTGGACCGTCGGGATCTGCATTGCATTTTTTTTTTTAAAGTCTTCAGGGAAATGATACTTGCGTATATCTCCATGTCCAGGTGTCAACTGTCTGGAAATCAAACCGGTAGGTGATGAACCCAGGCAGCCTAGTTTTGGTTTAAATGCTCTTTGTTGAAAAACACAGAACTATCAGAACTTTTGAAGTTTGCTTCCCTAGGGTCCTTAGCAGCCCCCAGAACTAGTTTCCATACAGAAGATGGACAACCCGAGGCCTAAGATGTAATCCTGTTTACTCATGACACTGTTCATCTTTCTATAGTTGGAGATTGTCCTGTGTGGTTTTGTTTTTTTTTAAGATTTTATTTATTTATTTGAGCGAGAGAGTGAGAGAGAGAGCATGAACAGAGGGAGGGGCAGAGGAAGAGGGAGAAGCAGGCTCCCCACTGAACAGGGAGCCCGACACGGGACTCGATCCCAGGACCCTGGGATCATGACCTGAGCCAAAGTCAGGTGCTTCACTGACTGAGCCACCCAGGTGCCCCTGTGTGTTTGTTTTTAACACTCTGTTTATCATTCCCAGAAAGTATGTATTAACTACATTTTTTCTCTAGAAAGTCAGGATGTCATGAGTTTATCTGAATCTTTTGGAATGATCTGTTTGGTTCATAATTGCTGTAAACGTGCTTGCGAGATGTTCTGGCTCTCATGGTCTTCTAGAACCTCCACCCACACATTTCAACCAGATTTTTTTTTTTAATTTGGCTACGAAGAACAAGAGTAATGAAGGTCTTTTGTGGGAGGATAGCTGGTGGTGAGTTCAGGGAGCTGAGAGCAGTTACAGCTGCAGATGGGTGGATAAAGAAGAGCAAGGTGCTCCATCCCCACTGGTCTCTTCTACCCAGAGTGTCTGATCAACAGAGCCAACTATGGATGGGCCCCAGGGAAATCATGGCCCAAATGCGTAGTCCACAGACCTGCAGCATCAGCATCACCTGGAACTTGTTAAAAATGTATATTCTTGGGCTCCACCCCAGATCAACTGAATCAGGAACTTTGGGGGTGAGACTGAAAAATCTGTTGAACAATCCCTCCGGGTGATTCTAAGCACATAATTGAGAACCACTGAGCTCTAGCACATTACTTCCCATGTTACAGAGATAATCTTTCTAGTAGATACCAAATTTTGTTCTTGAAGTTATGACATGATTTTTGCAACTAATAAGACTCCAAATGATTTTTAAATTAATACCTAACATTTCAAAATTATATCCATTTGGCAACTAAATTAAACACGACACTATGAGATACCTTACAGCAAGGAGCATGTAAGTAGGTCTTCGTAGGCACATAGGCACTTTCTCGGTGCCATGAATCCTTTTGTTCAGGGATGATTTATTAAAAGTATACTGCATCTTTCTAATTAAGCCAACATGAGGTCTTTTTTTCACCTTTTTCTTCAGGAGTAGGAAAGCCAACATTGTCCATGCCTAGAATTTGTGTCTTTTTTTTTTTTTAAGATTTTATTTATTTGCGAGAGAGCACAAGTGGGGGTGGGGCGGGGGTAGGGGTAGAGGGAGAAGAGAAGCAGACTCCCCGCTGAGCAGGGAGCCCAACATGGGGCTCGATCCCAGGATCCCGAGATCATGACCCGAGCTGAAGGCAGACGCTCAACGACTGAGCCAGCCAGGCACCCCTAGAATTTGTGTCTTTGACCTTCACTCTCTATGCCAGGATAGCAGCACCAGCCCCTGCCTGGCAGACAAGCCGCTGGGGGGAGGAAGACCTAGCTAGCTGACCCTCTTTAGAAGAACCCACTGTCACATTTTAAATACATCATTTTTTATATCTTATTTAAATTCAATTAATTAACATGTAGTGTATTACTAGTTCCAGAGGTAGAGGTCAGTGATTCATCAGTTGCATATAAGACCAGTGCTCATTCCATCACGTGCCCTCCTTAATGCCCATCACCCAGTTACCCCATCCCCACACCCACCTCCCCTCCAGCGACCCTCAGTTTGTTCCCTAGAGTTAAGAGTCTCTTGGGGTTTGTCTCCCTCTCTGATTGAAATATATCATTTTAAAGTATGTATTGCTTTTCAATGTCAATATGACATGAAGCATTTGATTCAGTCAAGAATTTCTTCTAGCAAATACTATATTGTTTGTTTAACATATGTACTCTGGATGTATTTACATGAGCACAGAAGACACTGTCTTGAGTCTTGCCTCAGTTTCCTTATCTGGACTGTGTCTTCATTAGTTTAGCAAAGGGATTGGGCCAGCATTTCTCAGCGGAGTTGCTACTGGCTATTATGGATAAGACTGTTCTTTGTGCAAGACTGCACATTTCAGGATATTAGTCACCCCCAGGCCATGCCAGTAATAACCCCTTGTTACTCTCGCAATCAGAATGCTCCCACAAAGTGATGAGCAAATTCAATATCTTTCCATGGCGACAGTTTTATGGATATAGACACGTGTGAAAATTAACAGACTATACTTTTATCGTATGTCCATGACACCTCAATAAAGCTGCCAGGAAAAAAACCTATCTATATACACCATGGGTCAGTGTACTATAGCCCACGGGACTGGCAGCTTTATTTCCTGCCCTACCCACCCATACTTCTCCACCTGCCTGGAGACAGGAGTAGGGGGGAGGTGGGCAGGACTGTCCCCGGTTGTGAGCAGCTGAGCGGTCTGAAAGGTCTAATGATTCTAAAATGCGAAGAGTCTATCTGGGTCATAGAGAAAACTAATTGCTTAGGGCGCCTTGACATGTTCTAATTCACTACCATTGTGAAGCTGCAGGATCTGTTTCCCTTAGCAACGAAATGCATTGTGTTACTTATTTATTTAAAAGTGGCTCGGCGTCATTTTTAGATATTATGTATTTATTCTCCAGATGATTTCATTTTGGAGGTGGAAAAGCCTCTGGACTTGAGATTTGAAGGATGGTATAAAATCCCTTTCAACAATCTGGTTCTTCCAAATTCCAAAGATTTGGAATCTTTGGAATCCAAAGATTTTTCCAGTCTTCCAAAATCAAAGTAGATGAGTAAGACGACGGTGACCGTATCTTCATCTTTTGACCCCAGATTCCCTGCTGCACTCAGAAACTCAAAGTTGTCTATATGTTTTCATGTGTAAATGAGATGAGGAAAAAAGAGGATGTTTTATGTTTTGCCTTGTAAACACAAACCTGAGGTGGCAAAAGGAGGCAAAATTTATGAGTACCAACTATGAACCACCGATAGTTTTGATAGAATATTTATGTAACATATAGTATTAAATTATTGTTTTTACCTTTCACCTTTCCTGAAAAAATCCATTTGCCTAGAAGTAGCTAAGGCCCTGAGGCAGTAAGTGGCTTGACCCAAAGCTATACAACCAGTAAATGGTCGAGGCAGGATTTGAATTCAGGGACGGCTTGCTCCAGAGTTTTGGTTTTTCCTTACACTGTGGTAGTAAAGCACAGTAACAGGATTTCTACTTTTTTGAATCAGAAAAGGACCCAGCTTTTACCTCAGAGTTATCAACGTAAAGCTGTCTCTCCAGCCCCTTGACAAGCAGCGTTAATATTTTCCTCTGCTCCCCTTCAGAAGACACCATCACTGCCTTCCCTGCAGGGGAGAATATGGCTCGAAAGCTGGCAGTAAAAATTTATATATCTTTCCACATTCAAGAATAATCATCTACCTAAAGAATTTATAAAAGTCTTCTGCATCTTATCTCTTCACATATGAAATAGAGTTCAGTTGGCTGTAAGAATCATCACAGAACACAGATTGTCCGCAGGTTTGATGTCTGCACTTTTGGGGATTTATATGAGTGGCCAAAGGATACCCTCATTGGGCAGAGAATTAAACAAAACTACTGTAAGGGTGAGACAGTTTTCTAAATGGCAAGCAAACATATTGGTCAACGGTTCATATGAGCGTTGCCAGATTTCCGTGCTGAATGTTATTTATGGTTTTGATAGATTAGCCACATATAGCTGCATTTCAAGGACTGCTGA